GCCTATTTCTATTGACTTTTTTGATACAAAAAATTATAGTTACGAACGAATATATTTTATTAATTAATTTTAATATAATTTTCAATCTTTTTTTAAGAAAATATTTCTAGGTGCTGAGGATAGAAAGATTATTTCTTGGTTTCTTTTAAGAAATCATTTGCAGATATTGGTCATCCGGCCATTCTAGGATAGTATCCTGGATAGTTTTTAGATATACGATATTCTATATATATAATAAAATACATGCGCAAATTAACATACTGCTTCAAAAAATTTTTATACTTTTTTTTTAAATATTATGTTACAAAATATATATTATGTATGAATATAACGTAAAATGTGCGTATACTTTAAAACTTTGAGACAAATCGAATGGGTATCTCGATATCAGTGAAATATCGGCAAATTAATGTATTTAAATATTACAGAAAAAGATCAATAATAGCTTAGAATTATTATAATTATGCTTGATATTATTTTGATTTATTTTATGTGTATTGCAAAGTATTCAAATTAAATTTTTTTAAATTTCACTGTTATCGGGTTTGATTCGTCTCAAGTAGTTGGTACCCGAGAATTATTTGTACTCGCACATTTAACACTAGCTACCATAACGCGATGCATGTATTTTATTATCCATAAATATAGTCGTTCGTAATCACATTTTCATAAAAATTGTTATATCCGTTTAATTTTTAATAAAGATATATATTTCTTAATAATGGAAGAACACATTTTCTCGCGCGAATTTCAATCTCGTAAATTAAAGATAATGACAATGGTAACTGTCATTGATTCATTATCGAAATCATTGCTATCGGGAGCAGTCCGGAAGATCCGGGATTCGTTCCCTCCTACAGCGGGGTTCCTGATATTCAATGAATCACTTAACTTTTCTTTGCGGATTGATCTTACGGGCTCCGATGTAGAAGCAAGAAGTTGATCGTTCTCTACCTTTAAGATTGTTCTTGTCTTTGTCGGATATTAACCGGCGTGTTATCTGGCGGAGGGACCTTGATCTGGTCAAATTGTTGGGCCAGTTATCCTCCATTGAACGCGGCAATAACGCAATGTTTTTATAATGATGTCTTAAGATTTACAAGATTTTATAATGTTTAGCTAATTCTCCGCGAAACGGTACATACATTCTTATTCTTAATCGCGAAATTTGCGTAAAATCAAGCATTTGAAAATAAATCGGGCATTTAGGTTCTAAGTATATTCACAAATGTCCTATATTACGAACGCGATTATAAAAAGCGCTCCAAATGTCCGTCGAAACATTTTCATATAATTATATAGTAATTATATCGGTTCTCTGATTGTTTCAAAAATTACATATACATACATTGGAATCGAGTATTATGGCTATCGTCGATTTATTTATTCGTCGCGTTTTTTTCGCAAATTTTAAATTGCGGTTTATCTTGTAATTTAATCGTTGATTTACATCGAAGCTTCTCTATCTTTTCTCGGATATTTTCTTTGAAAGTTTACACAAAATCGCGTCAGTAGACCAAGTACTTTTTTCTACAATTGGAAAACGATCGATAACTTTATTAACGACTCTTTTGGTCATACTTGTTTGCATTATATAAAACTTAATAAATTTTGTAATTGCATGTTGATCGATTATGAATCATAAATATCACATTAATCATTGCTTATCATCTGATCTAAAAATTTCTAGTGCATTCTGCATTATATGAATATTTCGGACATTTTCGTGTAATTCCGTATAATAAATTCTTTTGTATACATTTCAAATTATATTTTATATTAAACTTTATACTCTCTATATATTTTTTGTAATATATATATTTGTAATATAATTAATTCTGTATATTAGATAGAATTAATTATAATATATATCTTGTAA